AGATTATCTGTTACTATCTTAGAACAATGTGAGAGTTATCAGAAATAAACACAGATTTGTCAAGAGTCTTGGCAGACCAATCTGATCTTGTTGTTGACTGTATAACTTCTGTAAGATTGTAACATATCTTGACATTAGTAAAACATTTGATAAAGTCCCACACGTCATGCTGATTAATAAGGAGTTTGGTATGGGGTGTATGGCATGACAATAAGTGGTCTGGTGTGAAAATTATATTCAGAATATACTCAAGGGTTTCTTATCATACCGCTGACAGTTATCAAAAGAAATGCCACAAGAACCAGTCCTGAGTTCCCTAATCTTCATTATTTTTACTAATGACTGTTTGAAGCAGATGGTGGGTATATTAAATCTGCTGATAGAACACATGTCCAGAGGGTAGCTAATATACCAGAAGACCAGAATACCATTCAAAATTATTTTGATAAATCGTAGGCTGAAGGTAACAGTAAAATATAACAGAAGGCAAGTAGAAAGATTATCACTTATGAAACAACCATTAGATGCACAGGTTGTAAAACACCACTTGTTAAAAAGATCTTGGAAAAGTAATTGATTGCAGGGGCAGCTATATGAGATTCCTACAAAAAAAAGGAAAATGCAATTTCAGATTTATACTTCTGTCAATGCAGAATTAATGGTTATACTGTATTCTTTGGCGAGACCTCGCCTCAAGTTCTGTATCAAGTCTAGCTACAAACTTTAAAAAAGATACAGAAATAATTACAACCAGGTTTAGATAAGGCAAGCAGGATACACAAATGACTAGAAATGAAGTCCTAGGAAGAGAGTTTGAGGAAGTTGGATATATTTAGCAATGAAAAAAACTAAATGGTGATATGAGATAGATTTATTTAAACACCTAAGAAGAATGTCACATTAGATTAGAAGGTCAAGGCCTGTACTTTCTTATTCTAGAATGCAGGATAAAACAATGGGTTTCAGTTATAGAAAGACAGAATTCAGCTGAATATTAAGGGAAAAACTTCCTAACTATAAGAGCAACAGTAGAACAGTACCCAGAGATATCGTGGATTCCCAAACTTTGAATAATTCATGGGAAAACAATAACCATCTGTCAAGGATTCTTCAGCTTGGATTTTTGTACTGACTAGGGATTGGACTTGATGATCTAACTGACCCATTCTAATCTATGATTCTAAGTGTTTACATTTTTCTTTTTTAAAGAAGCCAAAGAACATATTTCTACAACAAATAGCTACAATTATAAATAATTTTTCTTTTTTTCTCCAGACAAATCCAGGAATAGTACCAACACATGCTTTTAACCCAAGAACCTATTTCTTTGACAATCCTCGCAGATATGACAGTGATGATGATTTGGCATGGAGCATATCACCACATAGCATATATGGCAGGTAGGACAAACATGTATATAGATCATACAAAAGAACAGCATAACTTCACAAAGACCTTTGGGGTCCTAGAAAAATGCAAAAAAAAATAGTATGCAGGTAGTGTTTTGACTAGAACAACTGGTGAAACTGATAACCACATTCTTAAAAAATCCCATTAAGAGTGGACTAATCTGTTAACAAGCAAACAGACTTGTGACACAAACTAATATTTTGTTCACAATAATCATGCATACCTTGTAGTCAATTCCCATTGCATATTATACTTTCCTTAGGTTTATATAACTTTAGCCTTATTTATGTATGTCACAGAAAAATCTTGGGGAAAGGGGCTAACATTTTCCATCAATAAATTATACAGTTTAGAGAAGAAAATGAATTACTTCACCAATGAACCAATCTACACAAAGAACTTAAAAGACAATCAACCTAACAGGTTATGAGTGCTGCAAACATACATCATCAATAATCAAAATACCTTTGATACTGTTCCTTCTTTGTTTAATCAAAATGCATTTGTAAAAATAAAAACTGTATATAATTGAAAATTGTTAATGTGGAATTCTTAGTGACCTGGATTAACAGCTGTGTATAAAATTTAGGCCAAGCAAATGTATAGTCAGAGGCATTTAGAATTTATTCCAGAAACAGGATTGAAACAAATAGGTCTGCATAGTCAGAATATGATTAGTAAAATGCATCTGAAGAGCTTTGTAAAATTGCATAACTTGAAACACTGTTAAGCTTTCATTTTTTTTACAAAGTCCATTGTTTTTATCTTCTAGCTTCTCTCCAGAAACCTATGACTGGGGATATCTAAATAACAGCTTAATGGTTCAAGTTGGATCCCTGCAACATGATTTCACATCAGAGTCTCCACGACGAAGCCCAATATAACAACAGACCAATGATACTCCCTCCACATTATTCAATTTTAGTAAAAAGGGTTATTTTGCAAGGACTTACATACTTAAATTATGTAAAAAGAACTGAGTCACCTTTTATAATGTTAAAAATATTTGAGTTTTAAATATTTGAGTTGCTGAAAAAAAATCTGTTTCCTATATTTGCAATTTAGAAAAATAGTTTGAAAAACTCTAAATTTTGGGGAGGAAAAGTCAAATATTTAAAATGTGAATATGTATAGACGTGGTGTTTAAAATGTTAATTTAATTGTACAATATAATGCCCAGTGAAACCTATGCTGATAGGAGTTTTTGACCTGTTTAACATGCAAATTTGTTTAACATGCAAATTTAATTATTTAAAATGTATTATTAGTTTTAGTAAATTGGTCGTTAAAATAATTTTGTATACCTTTACTGATACATAAGTGAGGGTGACAGACAGAGTGGAAGAACTGTTTTCTCTCACTAAGACTGTCTATTTTTTATTTCAACTTCCTGTCCGCTTTGATTATATAGGAAGCTACTAAATTTAAAAAACAGAGAAGAATTTGTCCTGAGGTACAGTTTACAGTTGTGTTAGCTTCAGCAGTCCATATAATAAATTGGAGTTTACAGTACTGACTTGTCATGGCCAGATCTTCTCTAAAAGAGTGTACATAAAATTTCTATTTGCATGTGTACTTTGATTCAGGACTACATTTCTGAATTTTCTTCACTTTGGACATTCATTTGTAAGGAAAACCAATCCAATCTAACTATTCTTTTTCAAAATAGAGTTAAGTGTGCGCTTCTTACTTTCTCTCACCTCAGACTGACTGTCTGCAAGCTTGTGACTCATCCAACAAAACACATCTTTGTGCACATGCCACATGTAATGTGTATGCAAATCTAAATATTTTATGAAAAATATTTATACAGGTAGTCCTTGGCTTTCAACCATTCGTTTAGTAACCATTCAAAATTTCAATGGCACTGAAAAAAGTGATTATGACTGTTTTTCACACCTTGTGACCATTGCAGCATCCCCATGGTCATGTGATCAAAATTTGGCCGCTGGACAATTGGCATGTATTTATCATGGCTGCAGTGTCCCAGAGTCATGTGATCACCTTTTGCAAAGATGATGAGGAAGCCAGATTCACTTAATAACCGTTTTACTAAGTGAACAACCGCGGCAATTCATTTAATAACGGTAGCAAGAAAGGTCACAAAATACAAAACTCACTTAACAACTGTCTTGCTTAGCAGTCGAAATTTTGGGCTGAGTTGTGCTTATAAGTTGAGGACTTCGTGTATATTATTTATTTTAAACTTCTCAAAGCACTTTACAATCATTATAAAGGCAGAAATTCTTGCCCATGTATTCAATCCTCGGTGACAATTACAATCTCCCCAGATCCAAGAAAGCCTTTTCCAGGTGGGGTTAAATTGTGACCTGTTTAAGGGCAACCAGGACCATGTCCTAATGCAAAGAAGCTTTCCCCCAACCT